ACAACTGTTTTGTCGGCAGTTCAAAGGATGATGGTGCGCTTGCAGAGACATGGGTATCCGGTGTTGAGAATCCACTCAGATCGAGCGGGGGAGTTTGTCAATGCACGCTTCCGGTCCTTTTGTGAAACTCGTCTGATATATAGGACCACTGGTGATCCTGGAGTCCCGCAAACAAATGGGCGCGCTGAAGCATGTGTGGGTTTATTCAAACGTGGTGTCAGGTCGCTCTTAAAGGAGGCGCGACTCGGGCCGGCGTACTGGGCACTGGCTGCTCGCCATTGGTCAATGTTACGGTGGCAGAAAGCTGAAAGGGAGTTGGGGTTAAATCCTAAAGCATTGCTTCCTTTTGGTGCTCAGATTCAAGTCAAACGTCGTCCGTGGGAGTTGCTGGGTCCGGATGGAACAAAGAAAGGTCGGCAATGGGTCGATCGTACGCAGCCTGCGCTTCTTTTGGGTCCATGCGATGACCTACCTGGTGGTTATTGGGTGGAAGCTCAAGGGACTGCAAAAGATCCGGATGAACTGGTGTTATTTCCCTGCACTACGATTTTTTCCAATATAAAGGAACCGCCTGAATTGGAGCTGGAAGGGGTGGTAGAAGAACAGGAGCCTTCTCCTCCAGAGCATCGTCTCAAGGGGAAAAAACCGGCGCTTCGGTTTGCTGATGAGGAAGGACCTCCTTTACCTCCGCCTCGCGATCCTCCAGTTCGCCATCGGTTGATGGAGAAAAGCCCGGCCTCTTCACTGCGTGGTCATGTGGGCTCCTTGCGCTTGCTTCGCAAGCGGGGGGAGAGTCCGCCCTTAGAAATTTTCGAGGATGACATGCAGGGTCTGGGGGAGCTGGAAGAAAATGCAGATGTTGAGGACAATGTTCCTGGTGATGAGTATTGGCCGACTTGCTGTTCTCCTCATGAAAATGCTTATTTGGTCTGCAAAAGTGAGACTGCTGGGGATGGAACACAGTTGGAAAAAGAAGAGCAAAAAGCCAAGTCAATGTATGAAAGGTCTATGTATGATTACGTGGACTGCGAGGAGCTTTTGGAAGGGATTGTATACCCAAAGAGGGTGAATCGAAGAGGTGGTATCAACAATTGGTGCACAAGTACGCGAGCTCTGGTGTTGGGCCACTATACTCATGGCGGAGTGTGTGGTATCACAAAAGAGACTCATCGAAGACCATGGCTATGTCGTTATTTGGCATCATTCGTGAGGCACCACAATCCTGAAGCCAAATTTTCTGCTCTTCAGATCTCATGCAATGCTCCGGTGTCATTGCATAGGGATAGTCACAATGAAAAGCATTGCTGCAATTATGTGTGTGGCTTTGGTGACTATAAAGATGGTCAGCTGTGGGTTGAGGATGAAAAGGTCTTAGAGGAAGGAGCTGAAGTGGTGGAGCAATCCTATGGGAAGAAAGTCTTACCTGGAAAATTGGTGGATATCCACTGGAACTTCATGTCGTTCTTTCCGAGAAAGCTGCATGGTCCTATGCCTTGGAAAGGGAACAGGGTATCCTTGACAGGGTACACACCTGTTTTTATGGAGCGTTTGAGCTACAAGGATAGGTGCTATCTTCTCCAATGCAAGTTTCCTCTTCCGGAACCACAAGCTGAAGAAGGTGAAAAAAGGAAGTGGTTAAAAATGACGTTGAGAGAGACCTCGCTGGAAGACCTTGCAGAGGAAGTCGACTACGCTGTGTTCGAAGCGCATCAATGGGCTCTAGAGGAGCATTTGAGTATTCGACGCCTAATTGCTGAACAGGAATGTTGCATTTTGGACGAGTTCCATGGATCGGCCAATGAGTCGAATGAGGAGAAAGGATCAGAGACTAGAGAATGGCTGGTTAAAGCAAAAAGGGCTGAGGAACAGCTCTCGAAGTTTTTGGTCAAAGCAGCTCAAGTTCAGCAAATGGTGCAAGAAAATACCGCGCTCGAGGCAGCAGAGGAGGTTGAGTTCCTGCAAACAAAAACAATTCCTACACAAGAAGCCATGCAAGAGCTGGAAAAGTGGAGGGAATCATTGTCGGACGAGGTGACGTCTTTGGTGAAAGAGTTGGAGGTGGTGGAACCAACAACTCAAGAAAAGCTGGACAAATTGGCGGAAGAGCCTAATGCACCGGTGATTGAGTACGTTCCCAGTCTGGTGGTGTTTACCCGGAAGCAAGGGACAGGGAGGCGACGTGCCCGTATCTGTGCATGTGGAAACTTCATTTCGTCAACGGCAGCTACAGAATATGAAGGGCCGAGGTCACTCAGTCGTCACTCGCTGTACGCTCCAGGTTTAGATTCAACTACATTCAGGTGTCAAGTGAGGCACGCAGCATATATGGTGTGGATCATCGCTGGCTTAGACATTTCCAAAGCTTTTCTGACGGCGCCGATGAATAGGGCGCAAAGAGAAGGGCGTTTGGTGGTGGTGCAGCCCCCAAGGGCGGCGGTGAAATTGGGTCTTTGCACAAAAGAGGAGCGGTGGATTGTGAGGAAGGCCTTGTATGGTTTGGCCGAAAGTCCTGCAGCATGGGTGGAGTGGCGAGACCAACGTCTTCAAGGGATGTCTTGGGTGTCAAAGGATGGGCAAGCAATGAGCTTTCAGAGGTCCAATGCAGACCCAAGCCTGTTCCTTATTATGGCACAAGAGAAGTTGGAAGGTGCAAGCAAGTTGGTAGGGACAATGGGTCTTTACGTGGATGATTTTTTGATGGCTGGGACTATGACAGTGCTCCGGGAGGCCTTGGAACAGATTAGGAAGGAGTGGAAAACTTCTGAACCCGAGTTCTGTGGTCCAGGCTGCGGTGATGGATTCCTGAAGTTTTTGGGTGTCCAAATCTGGTATCGAAATGGCAGCTTCTTTCTCAACCAGGAGGACTTTGTGAGAGATTTGCTGAACCGACGAGGGTATCAGATCGATGAAACTGGAAAAGGGAGTAACCTGCCAATGGTGAAAGAAACTCCAGGTGAAGAAGAGGAGGTGGATATTCCTTCCTTGCGAGCGGCTCAAGGTGCCGTAGGGGAGTTCCTCTGGGTGGCAATCAAAACTCGACCTGATTTGGCGTTCTGCACGAGCCAGTTGTCTTTGTGGACATCCCGAAGGCCACGATTTGTGGTTAAAAAGGCTGAGGAAGTTTTCCGATACCTTGCTGCAACTCCAACGTTAGGCTTGACGTTCGGAGCAATCGCAACATGCGAAAAAGAAAGGAATGAGGTGTTGCGTTATGGACGAGGTGTTAAGGTGGTGGAGTCCTACGCGGATGCCAGCTTTGCAGCAGGTGAAAACGAAAAGAGCCACTCAGGAGCGGTGGTGGTGTGGGGTGACTGTCCAGTAATGTGGGCAACACAAAGACAATCAACGGTGGCTTTAAGTACAGCTGAAGCTGAATTACATGCGTCCATAGAGGGAGCAACGATGATTCAGTCGTGCGCCCCTATAATTGCCGCTTTGGTTGGAACAGGTGAAGAATCGCTGCAAAAAGTGCTATATACAGATTCGGTTTCAACGTGCTCGATCATTCAATATCCTGCTGGAAGCTGGAGGACAAGACACCTGAGAATTCGAGCAGCCGGTGTCAGGTCTCTGGTGGACCGTGGTTATATGGTGATAGCGCATCTTCGCGGTGAGTATATGATCGCTGACCTGTTGACTAAGTTGATGAGTGGACAGGTGTACGCAAAGCAAAAGGCGCTTTGGGGTCTCCGACTGTTGGTACAAGGGACTGACTTGAAAAAAGCCTCGCTTGCAATGGCGGTCATGATGGTGGCTGCATCTCTGCAAGGGATGGCAACTGGTGGCGAAGAAGTGTCCACGGCTGGATTCTTTTGCTCAGAAGAAGGGGTGTGCAAGGTCGCCAACACGTCTACGGTGATGGTTCTGGCTCAAGGTATTGAAATGGTTGTCAACAATTCAGACCTTGTTGCGTATTTGGTGGCAGCAATTATACTCTGGGAACTGGCATGGTGCCTCTTTCGACGGCTGTATAAATGGCTGTGGATCAAGAAAGCGGTGGTTATTCCTGCGAGTGCCACTTTGTATACAACAGTGGGTGGGAACTGTATGCACGCAAGCAGTGACTGTGATGTTCTGCGATATTCACAGCCCAGGGCTAAGACGCTTTGTAAGCATTGCCTCAAGGATGGCTGGGTGGTGAATGCTGAGTTCCTTGGTGAGGAACGGGCCGCTGGAACGTGAATTTTCCAAGTACGAGGTGAAGAAATCCTCAATGGTAAAGGATTCAGCCAATGAGCTGAAGGTTCGTCCTGGATGACGTTAAACCATAATGTGCATTTCAAGCAGCTGGCTGCTGCCTAAATGGCGGTTTTTGGCCAAAGATTTGCACCTCCAATGTGTCCTAGGAAATCCTAGGACAGGGGGAGTGCGGAGCTGCAATTGGTATTGTAGAAAGGAGTTGGTATTGGAAGTTAAAGGGTCAATGAACCCGATAATCGTTGGCTCAAGCCATGACCAAAGCGGTCGAAGGTTTCGTAAAAAGTGTGCCCTTGGTTTGGGGTCTTGCTGTTCGGTTGTTGGTTGTTCCAGGGGTATTAAGGGCTTCTGTTGGGGTTGACTGTTTTGTTCCCTGTCCTCCTTCGGTTGCCCCCCGTATAGGGTTTAGGGTTTAGGGTTTAGGGTTTAGGGTTTAGGGTTTAGGGTTTAGGGTTGAGGGTTTAGGGTTGGCGCCCCAACCCCAAATCCTACCCCCGAGCCCCACACCCTAAAACCCTCTGAGTCTACAGATCATGGGGGCTCATTTCCTCCAGTTGAGGGGGTCACGTATGGCCGAAAAAAACACCGAAACCCGTGCCCATAGTGGTCCGCCGCTCCTGGATACCCCAAACCAGGAATATAACTATAAACACAAAGGCGACCCGGACAAGGGCCTATCCATGTAGCAAAGAGCCCCCCATCAGGAACTCTGTTGAAAGTGGCCCCAAACTGCCTGGTTTGGGATCTGGGGTTGAGGGTTTAGGGTTTAGGGAAACGTCAAGAGAAAAACGACTGAAGCCCAGGCCTTCTTCGCTTGGGTGGCTCTGGTTCTCTTTCCCCCCGACACAGAGGAAGTAGGGTTTGCCGGGGGGGGGGGGGGGGGGGGGGATTACGATTTAGGACAACAAATGGTGATTGGGTTGTTGGGGGTCTGGTACTCTGGTACCCGAAGCCCGTGAAAATCCCAACCCCACACTTTTTGACTGGGCAGACTTGGGCTCGAAGAAGGGCGCTGAGTAGGTAGCCTTTACCCTGTTGGGGTACATATTTATCTCTCTCTATACATATGAATATAAATATAAAAATAAATATAAATAAATATATATATATATATATATATATGCTACCATATATATATATATATCCTGTTGGGGGTACATGTCTATATATATATATATGTATATATATATATTATATTATATTATATGTATATGTTTATTCTAGATTTCGTACATGTGGGGACTTTGGGGACTTTGATCCTTAGGATTAAGGTGTATGGTAGGGTTTTGGGGCTCGGGGTTCTAGGACTGTCAGGAGTTCAGAGCTTTTTGGGATTTGGGCTTCCCGACCCCTTGCAAAAAGGCTTCGTCATCACATGATATAGGCGATATAGGGTTTAGGGTTTAGGGTCTAGGGTTTCGGGTCAAAGGCCTGTTTTTGTGGCTGGCGAAACTAGCCCTGAACCCTGAACGAATTCCATCTCAGGATGTGTAACCTAGGCTTTGTCGAGGTGTGTGCTTTTTGTTGCTGGCTTTCTTGTGTTTCTGGGCTCAAAGAATAGCAAATAGCCCCTAAGAAGTGCATGTGTCTATCTATCTATCCATCTTACATGCATATTCGTGTTTTGACATTTATACCTGCTTCGACATCACTGAGCAGCCTCAGACTAGAAGAACGCTGGGTTTTATTGTTTTGGCTTCGTAGCGCTAAACCCGAAATCCTAAGCCCTACACCTTCGGATGTTGCCCCCCCTATACTAACAGTCCTTCATAGGGATGATAATAGGGGGGGGGGTACAAGAACTACTAAGGACGGCTAGTATAAGGGGGAACATCCCAACCTAAATCCTAAACCCGAAACCAGAAACGCTACACCCTACACCTTGGGATTCGAGTACCCCCTATGATAATCCCCATTAAGGACTGTTAACCCTGAACCCCGAACCCTGAACCCTAAACCCTATGACAGGAGGGCCAGCAGTTCTTTCCCGCCTTCTTTCCGGGCATGTGGAGCCTCTTGGTTCTCCTCACGACGGCCCCCTGGACCGGTTTAGGGTTTAGGGTTGAGGGTTTTAGGGTTTAGGGTTTAGGGTTGATGGTTTAGGGTTAGGGTCTGTTCGGAAATATTCTTCGAGGCGTTTAACTCCCAACCACAAAGGCTCAATGCCTAGCATGGCTCTAGAAACAAGTGGGCCACTAGGACCTTCAAGTGATTTTTGTCTCTAAGGGTAGTTGGCCAGTTATATGGGCCCTTAACGTGGTCCCTTACCTTCTTCCTAAACCCTAAACCCTAAACCCTAAACCCTAAACCCTAAACCCTAAATGGGCTCTTGGGTTGTATAGGGTATACTATCAGTGGTATATAAGGGGTCCCCTTCCAAGGTCCCGCACTAAAGGACCATGTAACTACCCTAAGATTTTGCGTTTGTCTAGAACATGGGTAACTGTGCAGGCCCTTGGTACTTCTCTGGCCAGGGGGGTCTAAAGTCTAGGGTATGTTTGTTCGTTCTCTTTTCTTGGCTAAACCCCAAACCCTAAACTCCAATCCCTAAACCCTAGACCCCAAACCCCAAACCCCAAACCCCAAACCCTAAACCCTAAACCCTAAACCCTAAACCCTAAACCCTAAACCTTGGAAAGCCCAGGCCAACTTCCCCGATGTGATGCTGCCAGCATACCGGCTCCTTTGTGGTGCTTTATTCGGGTTTAGGGTTTAGGGTTTAGGGTTTAGGGTTTAGGGTTTAGGGTTTAGGGTTTAGGGTTTAGGGTTTAGGGTAACTTTACATCCTTGGCCTTTTTGGGTTTATTGGGTTTCTTAACAGCGCAGCTAAAAAAGTTTCATTTTTTGTACTACCCTCCTAAGTGCAGCCAAGGCTGAATCGGGCAAGCGTGTTCTTCTTTCTGGCCTTCATGCTGGTGGGCACCTGGGTCCCTTTTCTTGGCTTTTGTGTGTTATTATTATTATTATTATTATTATTATTATTATTATTATTATTTTTGTGTGTGTGTGTGTGTGTTTTTTTGGTTGGGGAGGGGGGGGGGTAGGTTCAGGGTTTCGGGTTTGGGGTTTGGGGTTTGCCAACAAACACCTGTATCTTAGTTAGAAAGCATGGGCAGCGTCCAGCATGAAGCGTTTTGTTTGTCCGTGGGTTCTGCTCAAGGGACTGCCATCACTATCCCTGAGTCCTTGAACGCTAAACCGCTAAACCCTACATCCTAAACACGAAAGCCCTAAACCCTAAACCCTAAACTTGGCCCTAAACCTTATAAACCCTAAGCCCTGAACCCTAAACCCTAAACCCTGCTCCTTGAGGTATGTTCTTTCTGGTGAACGTAATCACTGCAGTGGTCATGACTGCATATCAGAACCAGGCGAACTCGGATGATGAGGGTCGGAAGACGCCGGACACGACAGAGAGCCAAGAGGGGTTCCGATGACCTCGTGCCCTAAATTTAAGAGCCTCCGGCTCAAGCCGCCGACCCCGCTGGAGCATAGTTGAAAGGTTTAAACGCGTTCGTTAGGTCACAGGATGCCAAAGTTGGTGGGGGGGGGGGGGGGGGGGGGGGGGGGGGGGGGGGGGGGGGGGGGGGGGGGGGGGGGGGTGGAGGGGGGGGGGGGGGTTTATGTCCTGTGCCTATGTCCTGAAGCCGTGTGGGTGGCCTGGCCCTCCATAGGAAAAGCCCCCCCTACCCCCCCCCCCCCCCCCCCCCCGTTTTGGGGGGGTAAGGAGGGAAAGAGGGAGGTTTTCCCATCCAACACGCCGCCAGGGTCGGCGGACCCTAAACCCTATACCCTAAACCCTAAACCCTAAACCGCTCCTGAGCCCTAAACTCTAAACCCTACACCAAGAGGGTTCAGGGTTTAGGGCTCAGGGTTTAGGACTTGTAGGGTTTGGGGGCTTTATAGCCGTTGTGAGTGGATGTACCCGCAACCTGCAAGCTCCTTGTGGGTGGGGTGGCTTGTGCTGCTGCAAGGCATGGACGACCTCCGCAAAACCCCAAACCCCAAACCGCAAATCCGAAACCCTAAACCCGAAACTCTAAACCCTAAGCCCTATGCCCTAAGCCCTATGCCCTAAGCCCCAAGCCCCAAGCCCCAAGCCCCATAAGACCTAAGCCCTAAGCAGTAAACCCTAAACCCCAAACCCTAAACCCCATAGACATTGACTCTCACAAACCAGGGGCAAAGGGCGGGGGGGGGGGGGTTTAGGAGCTTCGGTGGGTTTGTGTTGGGGGTTTAGGGTTTAGGGTTTAGGGTTTAGGGTTTAGGGTTTAGGGTTTAGGGTTTGAAGTCCATAGGGCTTCGGCTACGAAGCCTGAAGCCCTGACGCCAAGGAAGCTGAGGCAGCAGAAGGTGAAGGAAGCCTTCGAGCTCCTCACGGCCGATGGGCCTCTAACCGTGGAGGACCTGCAAAAGGCCGGCTTAGGGTTTAGGGTTTAGGGTTTAGGGCTTAGGGTGTTCGGGTTTTAGAGTTCTTAGGGTTCTTAGGGGTCTTAGGGTTCTTAGGGTTCTTAGGCTTAGGGTTCTGAGGGTTGTTAGGCTTCTTTGGGTTCTTTGGGTTCTTAGGTTTTAGGTTTTCACGGTTTTAGGGGTTTGAGGGTTTTAGGGTGTTAGTGTCGAGGGCTTAAGGGTTTTAGGGTTTTAGTGTTCAGGGTTTTAGGTGTTGAGGTCTTGAGGTTTAAGGTCAACAGTTTGGGGCTTGAGTTCGGGGTTTGCGGGGTTAGGGGTGAGTGAGAAGGGGAGCGGAAGGGCGGGAGGGGGAAGAGGGCGAGGCAGGACCAGGTTGTAGCAGGAGTTTCTGCTGTTGGGGCTCTGAAAGCACGGCACCTTTCGACAGAAGGGCTGCTTGGGACCTTGATCTGGGATCTTGCATGAGAATTGAAGGCACTGAAGTCGGAACTCAGCAGATGGACCTTAACCCCTAAACCGTAAATCCCTCGAAGCTCGAAGCTTCCCACACATCCAGGTGCTGGACGACTTGAGCTACTACGGTGGGCTTAGAGGCGACAGCGTGGTCAGTGCTTCGGCCATCGACTCCAGCAACGACGGTGTCATCAGCCGTCAGGAGTTCCCCTGGTTCTTCGTAGGGAATGCGGGAATCAGGGCCCTATGTCCTATGTATGCCCTTTAAGGGAATATAATGTCCTATGTATACCCTTTAAGGGAATATGTAGCTACCTCATTCCCTCATTCCCACCCTAAACCCTAAACCCTAAACCCTAAACCCTAAACCCTAAACCCTAAACCCTAAACCCTAAACCCTAAACCCTAAACCCTAAACCCTAAACCCTAAACCCTAAACCTCCCTACTAAGAACCAGCCAGGAGTTTGGGGCCTTGATTGGGTATCTGAACACTGCGCTCAAGACGGACTGTCCGACTCCCTGTCTAGAGAGCCACTTGGCAGCCCAGTGGTACCGTTTACCCTGTTTTTGGTTTAGGGTTTAGGGTTTAGGGTTTAGGGTTTAGGGTTTAGGGTTTAGGGTTTAGGGTTTAGGGTTTAGGGTTTAGGGTTTAGGGTTTAGGGTTTAGGGTTTAGGGTTTAGGGTTTAGGGCCCAGGGTTTAGGGTTTAGGGTTGAGGGTTTGCCCTTGTTATGATATGGCCACTGGACTACCAAGGCTACTTCCCAGGCTTGCCAACGAACCCGCTCTGGCAGGGGGCGAAGGTCTGGATCAACAGGGTCGGATGCTCGGTAGATCCTTGGGACATTTGTTTTAGGGTTTAGGTTTAGGGTTTAGTTCATATTTCCCCCTTATCTAGTAGCTGAGTGAGTACACTTTACACTTTTTTGGGATATTATCCCCTGTGCAACTGAAGGTGTGCACTTTTTGTGGCTTGTGGACTCAGCAACTAAGTTATGGGGTGTAAGAGGACGGTGTTTTAGGAACATTTTTACCAGAGGGTTTTTAAACGGCCCCTCCCAGGATGGATTATAGACGTGATCTTGATCATCAACCTCACCGTGATGTTGATTGAGATGTGGCCCGTGCTTGCTGGCACAAGCAGCACCCACCCTGGCGTGCCCGAGAGAATGGAGTTAAAAGCTGTGACAGGATGCTCGGTAGCCAGGAAGGTGCCCCATTTCTTTGTTTTGTTGATTCAAGGTTCCCTGATACAGAAACTAACCCCAAAAGAGCACCCTTCCTGAAATATGGCTAAACCCTAAATCCTAATCCCTGAACCCTAAGGCTACTTGGCTACCAAGGATGGAGACAAAACGTTTTCACCTGGGTGTTCATCACCGAAGCTGCCGCAAAGATTGCGCTGTTCGGTCTCACGAAGTACCTCTCGGTTCACACCAACCAGTTGGCAGCTGCATGAGTACACTTTTTCATTTCCTAGGATCCAAGTTCAGTATAGCGTCTTAGGTACACTGTACGCTTTTGGGGATACTATAATCACCTCTAGAACTGAAAGTGTACATTTTTGGGCTTAGGGATACTGGGAAATTCTTTTTGGTACTGCATTTCCTAAGAAACAGCTAATTGTTTCGCTAGGGTTCCAAGTTCAGTATGGCTTCTTAGTAGCTGCATGAGTACACTTTACACTTTTTGGGATACTATAATCACTATAAAACTGAAAGTGTACACCTGTTTGTTTTTTCGGGGGGAACTTTTGAACTCAGCAACGAAGGTTTGACTTGCTGGTGACTGTGGTAATTGCCCTTACCAGCTTCGCCCTCTGGTGCCCTTCCATTCCTTTGTCCAACTGGACGCTCGTTCAAGTGGTCGCTTGCGCCCGACTTTTCCGCCTTTTCCGGCTGCTGAACATGTACAAGCCTTACCACGACTTGGCGACGATCACCTTCCTTCTCCTCCCCACTGCTCCTCCACAATCAGCTGAGTAACCTTTAGGGCTTATAGGTTGGGATGTTCCCCCCTATACTAACCCTCCTGAATAGGGATTAAAGTAGGGGTGGCACTAGAATCCCTATGAAGGACTGTTAGTATAAGGGGGAACATCCCAGGTCATACACGTGTTTCTTGTTCATGTTCAATCGGTTCGCAGGGGCCTTCCACCTGGTCATTGGTTCTGAACCCCGAAGCCCGGAAGCCCTAAAACTCATCGTGTTGTGCGTTGTCTATAGGTGTCGGAATAAATTACTCATAGTGTTCCCTTATGGTCCCTTTGTACTATGCTACAATAACCCCCAAGACCCCGATCTGATCATTAAGACAGTACCTTTTGGCTCTTGGGTTCCGGCGACGTATCAGTGGGCCCCTGAAGAGGGAAAGGAGCTGAAGGTTGAGATTCCGATGAAAAAGGTTTAAGGTTTGGGGTTTAGGATTTAGGGTTTAGAGTGTAGGGTTTAGGGTTTAGGGTAATATGAACCCCTAACCCAAAAGGCTCAGCCTTGTTAAATGGGGTTTTCCACGAATCCTGGCGCCGTTGTTGGGTTTTTTTCTTGCAAAGGTGGTTTACGGTTCAGGGTTCTTCTTCTCTAGTCTATTGTTAGGTATCAAGGGCTATCCCTGTTTGTGAAAAATACACTATACGAGACCCAAGTCATGATCAAGATTCTCCCTTGATAGCCCCATATAAGCTACCAAAACATTCCCTACTCTAACAGAAATGCCATATATGAGAATTTCCGAAATAAGGGTACCTCCTATATACCCCAAAATACTATAGAATCAGTACCCCCCCCCCCCCCCCCCCCCCCACTTGGAGGTTCAGGCTACTTATTAGCCCAAAAACAACTGTACTTATGGGCTATAAGTGTAACCATATTAGCACACTCAAGGGGCTTATAAGTGGTTTATAAGTACAGTTACAATTGCTAAACCCTAAACCCTAAACTCTAAACTCTAAACCCTAAACCCCAAACCCAAAACCCTAAACCCTAAACTCCCATCTTAGGCCATGGACATCTTCATGATCCTCTTCCTGATGTGCTACTTCTTCTCGGCGATCGGCGTGGCGCTGTTCGGAGGAAACATCCCACTTTTGTGGTTTACGGTTTAGGGTTTAGGGTTTAGGGTTTAGGGTTTAGGGTTAGGATTATATAGTTGTTTGCGGTATATATAAGGGGTGTCAAAATTGGAAGCCCTAAGAAGACCCCCAACTCATGCCCTCAATGTGCCCTGCGGAAGGTCTAGAATCCGGGGGTAACGGGTAAACAACCCTCCTTCAAACCCTAAACCCTAAACCCTAAACCCTAAACCCTAAACCCTAAACCCTAAACCCTAGACCCTAAACCCTAAACCCTAAACCCTAAACCCTAAACCCTAAACCGCAAATGTGACCCGGGAGGCATGATCAGCACGAACCCGGAGCATCCGCATCACGCGGCGGTCGCAGC